ATGACTTTGCATGAGCTTGGCAAGGTGACGGCTCAGACTGGAGACCTAGAGAACACACTGCAGCTCCTGCAAAGCAAGTCTCCGATCAATGGTTCTTTTTTGCTTTGACAGGATAGGTGCATTGTCCTAGTCAGTGGCTTTATGGCCCGATGAATCACTTGTTTCAATAAATCTGCACGCGTTGGTTCTGTCCGTCAGTCAGGAATTAGTCAGCAGCCAGAGTCACAGAGTTTAACATTGTTGGTTTTGAGGTGTCAAATGAACTCCAGCATGGACGAAACTGGCTGGTTACAGTCTACCTGTACTTGAGCGACTTGTCGCAAGGGTTCATTGCAAAAGGTTGCAATAAACAACGAACTATGTTGCCGGTTCTTTTGACACGACTCCGACCCATACCATACTTTAGAAGACATCAGACTTAGTTTTCCCAACCTAAGCTTGCAAAACATGGCAAACCAGCCTGTGCTTGATTGCAGGCAACGTCGCAAAGGGCGGCGCCACGTCTCTCGGTCAGTTTACTTCCGTTCTCCAGATTTGTCACATTATGTTCACTGTTCATCCAGCATTTGATGCTGGCAGCAAGATCGAAGCAGATTTGGACTTCACACCATGTCAAAGCTTGGAATCCGCCTCGAGGGTTGGTTGATATATCCGACTTGCGAGGTATTTCCCCAGCACCTATGGCCGTGAACTGCCCTCTGACGTGCTGAAGTGCGAGGGTCCCTCCGTGAAGCCCCGACGAGGCGCAAGCACTGGGTACTTGACCTTCTGTGCCGGGACATGGGAAGTCGTCTCAGGGCTGCTGTGCCATTGGGAACTGGGTTGTAGGTGTAACCCTGGTTCTCGTAGTTTGATTGTGGGATTCGATTGTAGATTATATTGCTAGAAACAGGTGGAAAGATCTTCAAAAGGTTTTTCTGAAAAGATCTCCAAGAGTGCCAGCCCGACTTGACCACTGGAGCTTCAGGATGGCGTCCTGTGGGGTGTGCATCCTTTGTTTTGAATGATTTTGCTTCAGTTTGGGCTCTCATTCAGCCTTGGAAGGCAGAGCGTTCTTATTAGTAGTGACAATGCTCCTAGTAGCGATGCCAGGAGCCCCTAGTAGCGTCCTTGCTCCTAGTAGTAAGGCCAGGAGCCCCTAGGCCCTAGTAGCTTCTTGTTACTAGCTTCTTGTAGGATTTGGAACCCTCATTCAGCCTTGGAAGGCCGAGCTTTGCTCTTCTACTCGTTGCACCCCAACGGAACGCCCAACTTGTCCTCGATGCATGGTGCCTGCAAGGTGCCAGTGCATAGCGTCGGCTTTGGAATGGTGGGTTGAGGATGTGAGATGCATGAAAAATCACCTGAAGTGGCCATGATTGGACCACAAAAGTTCAATGCAAGGGATTAGAAGCACAAGTGGACTTGCGTGCGTTGGTCCAGATTTCATTATGCGTGTTCCACATGAAGTCATGATCTCGAGGGTTGCCTGGACATGAAGGGAATGTTTGTTTAGTGTGTACCTGAGGTGGAGAAAGGGGTGAAGTACACCATCAACATATGGACCTTCAACCAGCTGAAGCCGGAAGCCACCACGCCGAAGAAGGGCAAAGGGCACCGCAAAAGGAAGAGCGAAGAGCTCCGATGAGCTCCGATGAGCTACTGGCAAGTGCCTAAGGTCTAGCTGGATCGAACAGCAGCTAAATCACCGAAGGAGTCTTGCGAGTTCCACAAACTCCTCGAGAGGCCCCAGATGCGGTGGAGAGAGGTGTGACCTTCTTTGGCGAAGGCCATGCAAAAGTAAAGTTAAGCCAAGAAGCAGTGGGGCGGAGATCGCTTGCTGGACTGCTGGTCTCGATGTGGATTCGGTGGCTGCCAGACTTCCAGGATTTGGAGAAGCCATTTTGCAGGAATAAGATTGGTGTTTGTCTATTTGTTCGAAGATGAAGCGAGCAGATTGAGGAAGGTACATAGGCTGACTACTGCTGCGTTTGTTGATGTGGTGTCTTATGTGTAGTTTCCATCAACATGCTGCACCTGCGTTCCTCTAAGGCCCACGTTCTCGGTCTCTCTCTTCGTGTTGTCCACGGCTGATCATATGCCCACAATGTGGCAGCAATGAAGCTACATCGATGGCTCTGAATGTCCAAGCTTGAGCTGCCTTTGCATGGCATGGAGAGTGCGAGACAAAAGCATCCACTCGCAGGTCAAAATCATCCAAAAAGAGTTCCACACCAACAACAAATGTGCTGAAACTCCCAAGACCTCGTAACAATAGGCTTCAGGGCTCCATCAACTCCTAGAAGAATTGCCGTTGCTGCTCCAGCGTTCTTTTCCAATAACACAAATACCTAGGCTGCAGAGATGCTCTCCGAGGCTCGAAATGGCCTTGCCGGGAGGGACATGTAGCTTTCAGTCCATCGCCAGGAAGATCAAAGTGATCCAACAAAAGTCTCTGACATCGTCCGATCGTCATTGGTCTTGTCAGAATAAACTGTCGCACCAACTTCTGATGTTCCCCACCCCTTTCACGAAAGACAGGGAGACAAAGTGACCCTCCATATCCATGGAGTAAAAGTTGATTCCTCTTATGGCCGCCAGGCGCCCTCCAGCAGTCGTCCCAGTCCACTCCGCTCCGGCAGCAGTCGCCCGGAAAGTGTCACCAGCCGGACCTCAGGCGCAGAAGGATCGTTATCTTCGATTCCTTGTCTGGCATGACCAGTTGCACGACACCAGTCCAGTCTTGCCACCCAAGTGATCAAGCAGCTGTGATTGACAAGACAGACAATATCTTATATTTGTTGTGCCACCAGGCTTCCTGCATGTTTGAAGTATTACCTGAGTTTCTGATTTCTACTGGAAAGTTCCACAGCAACCTGAAAAAGGATCTAGAAGCTCTGAGTGTGCGTGGGCCAGGTGTCAAATCGCGGGGCACCCAGCAAAAATCGAAAACAGAGAGAGAAGTCCCAACGGGCAACGGTTCCCCCAGGTTCACTCGTTCTATCCTGAAATCGGTGCAAGATTTCAGAGTACAGCTCCAGGCACCTTTAGCCGGCATCTCATGAAATGCTGCTTTCTCCCGTCGACCATCAAAAGAGCTCAGGTCCCGGTCGCGCGCGGCGGCCATCGCCGCACGGATCAACAGCATGGACATCGTCTCGCCGTCGGTCAGTCCGGAGCTTCCAGAGACCCTCGGGGACCCACGTGGATTCGTGAAGTCTGAGGAGGATAAGTGGGTTTGCTGTGATGGTTGGTAGAGAATTGGCTGACTATGCTGTTTCTTATTTTGAATCTTTTGCTGTTTCTTGTTTGATGCGATTTAATCTCATCCGAATGGCTTTTGGAGCTTTTGCATCAGTGTTTGAGGCATCATCGGCAACACGGCCGGCCTTGCATTGGCCGCGGCCGCCGCGAGTGCTGCCGCTGCGGGAAGCGAGTGTGCCTTGGCTGAAAATCGTCCAGAGCTGTGGCGTCAATGCGTCAACCGGGGTGATTGACAAGCGGATTTCTTCCTGACTCAGTCTCCAATGTTTGAGATGGTCTCTCAAAACAAGTGTGAAAATTGTTTAAAAAAAAAGGCAACGTATTCAAAGGATGTGGCACATGGAGGCAACAGTGATTAGTTTCTGGGCTTTTGGTGCAATTAGGTACACAAGTACCAAGGCAATCATGATGGCGCCATTGATGCACCCGCGTTTTAAGTGTCTTAAACCTGGCAATGCTCCGATCTTTGTGTATTTTTTTGATTTATTGGAAGAAGGACTGAGCAGCCAAGAGGACAGACAACATAGGGGAAAGTACGTGAAATGAATAGTAGACAGCTGATTGAAACTGCTTGTGTTTGCATTTCTCCAGTCTCTTTGCATTTTGAGGTGCACCTTCTCCTGCCCGGCAGATTTCAGCAGACATTCCATGGGTCAGGCATCTTGAGAGCCGGCTATAGAGACCAGATGCGACAACAACTTTCTTTGCTGAAGAATATCACGTATGTTTCAGCATTGATGTTCCATCTCCAGAAGGCCAATGTATTGGACTTAAGGGACTTAAGGCACTCCAAAGACTCTAGTACCCTAGGCCTAGGCGAAACAAACACACACCACGCGAAATGACGCGAAATTGCTGTTGCGTTTGCACGGCTCCTCAAATCTCAGGCTAAAGCATGCTAAAGCCATGTCCAGGTTTAGATGTGCACAGGGTTGTTGAGGAGTAAGACAATGCTCTCATGCAGACTGATGGTGTGACAGTTCAATACGCTGAGCCTTTGTCAGCGACTATGAACCGGGTGAGGTTCAAGAGCCCTGCATTCCAAATCTCACCAGTGCCAGGCCCCACTCACAGGTGCGCTTGCGCGTGCAGGCAGGAGTTTCTTTTGGATTCCTGATGACCAGTTTCAGCATGGAATTTCCGTTTTCATCTTAGATGCAATGAATGTCTGTCCCTCTGCCGATGAAAAGATAATTCCCACGAATCCGGTGACACCGACGGATTCGCGGATTCCCTGACGGCGCCCCGATGCGCTCCATTGGCCACTCGAAAGACGCGCCAGTCCCAGGCCAATCGGCCCTTCAGCGCTCCACGCATGAGGTTGGGGACCCGCATAGTGATATATTATATATATAGTATAATATATATATATTGCGATATATATATATATATATGAGCAGCACTGTTCGTTTCAATTGGCCTGATCATAAATTCAATCAAAAAGCATGCAACAGCTTTGATTTGCTGGACTGTGCGGCTGCCAGATTCGTGTGCAGGTATGAGAGGGCCCGTGACGAACGTCGGGCAGCCAATGTCCCTTCTGGGCGCTTCCCTCTTCAGCCATCCCTTTTTGCCCAAGAGACAACAACAACACCCAGAGCAGAAGAGGATAGAAGACACATTCAAAACCCTCCCAGGTGATCAATTTCACGGAGACTTTTGTTCAGACTGATGTAACTGATTGACCGGTGCAGGTCGACCGGACCCAAAGGAGGAGGTCAAGAAACCCCCAAGGCACGGCGGCACGGCGGCACGGGGCCGTTTCCAGTTGGGCTTTGTATGGCGAATGGGTGTTCGTGGTGTTTTCGCACGTAAGAAGTGTTTGTTTCCTTTTGAAGGCCTTCATAAGTCATCTTCTGGGTATCATGGGCATCCGGGTCATCTTCTGCAGTGGGAGGTCCACGGTCTCCTCAGTGCTTTTCAACTTGTCAAGGCCGTCCACTGCGGTGGTGGGCGGGAAGATCCGCCGTGATGGGCAGAAAGGCCATGAATGCTCACTGCTGTCAGAATTGCAACATGTTTGACCGACATGTACGTCCAAATATGTTGCATCGGTCCACCTAGAGAAGTCATCGACAATCCATTCATGATGAATGTCTGATGAAGATATATAGAGGTTTGAGCTCGTACAATGAAGATTGGATGTTTTATACTGCAGCTTTTGCGATACGGTGCCCATTAAAAGTAATCCCCAGGAGTACCCTATCTCTAGACTCGACAAGCCCAGCACCACTGCACCACAATGTTCACCAGAACACCCTTTGACACCCCAGTTTTCCACTCCACCAGCCAGCCAAGACTTCAAGCCCTAAAGATGTAACCACCAGAGGTTACTGAGCTACTCAAACATCACAAGAGCCTTCCATCCCATCAATTCATTTGGAGGTTCATTTCAATCACAATTTTGTTGTCGCCCGACATGGTGCTGCTCCGAACGCTCGAAATCCTGGAGGCCCCGTTGGGGCGGGGCTGGGCGGGGCTGTTTGTTTTGTTCGTTTAAACACGTTGCTTCCGGATTGGCATGATGCAGCAGTTCCATGTTCGCTTGGATTCAAGTTCAACACAACATCGGCCCAGGGTAATGTGTCAAAATCATCGATTATTCAAACCGGTTTGAGTGTTAAAGTCAAGTGTTTGTCTTGTCACTCACTTTTCCACATCCTTCGAGCACCTTCATTTTTCAGGCGGTCTGTGTGGGAATCTTCGGCTTGACAGGTCTGCAGCACGGGGCCTCAGTCAGTGCGGGATGGCATGCTCAAACCATCTAAACCGTTTCGCTGGTGTTTTGTTGAAACTTCACTGAGACATTCCAGGACAATCCATTCAATCCGGGCCGTTTCAGATTTGATGGTCGTGATGTTCAGGTGCCTGGTGCTTGTGTTGCTGGGTCGCCTTCTTTGGTCCTTCATCAAGCATCCCATCCTGGATCAGGTGGCAGGTGTGGTCCCGGTAAACGCTCGACTACATGATATTTGCCCCATGTACAGTCCTACCTCACATAATTGCTGGTCAGAGGATTGGTAAGGCCTACCTATGCAAGCCAGCTATAGTGTTCTATGTCCAAGCCAAACGTTCGCCGACAGTCAAGGGGCACACCCTGGTACGTTGCCGAAGGCTATGGTGGCTGCGCGGACGTCCAGATTGAAACGAAAGAGCTGGAGACCTTGAGGGGCAAAGTGTCCAATGGGAGGAAGTTCGACTTTGCCAAGGACCCGGAGCAAGTCACTTGCGTGGATAAAACAAACGAGCTCAGACGTAGTAAAGATGTTCTCGTTGATACTTACTATACTTGTGTCATGTTCTTGTTTGTTATTCCAGAGCTCATCCCTCCTAGAGTCCCAAGTAGAGGTGTTCTTGTTGGAACTGAGCCATGTGAGGAGTGGTCCAGTTGGCCAAAGTCAACGATCCCATGTTGGGATCCGTCCACCTTGAGCTTCCTGGGCGAAGTCCCTGCGTGTGGCGAGGAGGAGGTGTGGCAGGAACCCGACACATGGGGCTGGTAGTGCCTCAAGAGTTGCCATGCAAACAACCTGTAGCTCCAATAGATGGTTTGAAAGAGTTTTGTCGTCCAAATACATGAAATCACTGATGCTGTGCTCCTTTGGGTTGAGACAGTTTTTGCATGTGCGGCTGTTTAGGTGCTGCTATAGTGGTTAAGTTCAGGGATTTCTTGATTGTCCTACCTCATAGCCGCAGGTGGTGAAGATGGTCGGCAAGGCACGTGTAGCTCAGCAGGAATGGCAGAAGTCGTCCTTCGCACAGAGACGCTATTTGCTGCGAACCATTCAGACGCTTGGTCTTCACGGCCATTTCTTTTTCTTTCTTTTGATTGGGTACAACAGATCGTTTGGATGGATTTGAGAGGGAGCCGTTTGACCCCTCAGCTTTGACCTTTGCTTGAGCTATCCCAGACCAGCTTGATGCTGAAAAACATGAAGCAGTTGTTTGAAAGCCATCCAGTTCTAGTCTTTGGAAAGCCAAGCAAGTCCTTTTCAGATTCTGTTTCGATCTGGATGTTGTGCTGAGGAACTTCGTGTTGAACAACATGGAGACCATTTGCACCGTGGCCTGCCGCGACTCCGGGAAGACGGTGATCGACGCCATGGTGTCTCGAAGAGCAAACCCTTCGAGTGCGGAAGAGTTGTGAGTTAAACGGATTTGCTGAGGATTTTCGAAGTCGTTATAAGTCGGCTGATATAGAGTCTACTTTCAGTTCGGTGGAATTCTTTTCGGCCTAAGTTCAATGTTGTTTCTTAAACGGACAAAGGCAATTCCAAGTCTCACTGATAGTGAGTGCTCCGTCTCTGGTGCACTCGCATCAAGAAAGTGTGTATGGATTTTTGCATGCGTGAAGTCACCTTTGATGCATTTGTTGCACACCAAACCGTTTGACTGGACTGCCTCACATCGACGCCCTTCGTGTCAGGTGGGTGAATTGACGGTGACCTTAGAGAAGTTGCGATGGACGATTGCCAGTGGAGAGGAGCCACTTGAGCTGCAGTTCAAAGGCTGGAGGATTTCCTGGATGCCACGTCGCTTGAGCCACATGAGTCACTTGAGTTTGAAAGGAAAGTGACATGAAAGTCACTTGGATCGTATTGGATCATATGATTGCTCAAAGATCGTGAGCAACTCAGGTATTTGTTGCCGGAGTACCGCAACTCAGGCTGGGTCATCGGGTCATTGACAAATCCTTCAGCTGTCAACAGTGAGTGATCAAAACCTCCTTGCCAGGCCTGATGAATCTTCACAAGACTAGTCGCCTCGAGTCTTGACGTGAGCAGACGAATCAGTGTTTTCCTTACATGCGTTCTATGGGCTTTCCCTTAACTTGCCCTTGTCATTCAGAAGATTCTTAGGTTGGAGGCCATCGCTAGTAGGCTGGAGTCCATTGCTATTAATTAGGATGGAGGCCATCGCTACTAGAAAAGGAAAGAAGTATACAATATAGTTTGCTCTTAGGTTGGAGGAATCTTACTCCGCCCATTTATTGCCAAGGAATGGGTCCCCGTGGGCGTGGTCGGAGCGATCGTTCCTTGGAACTATCCCTTTCACAACGTCTTCAACCCGATCGTGGCTGCCGTCTTCTCCGGGACACCGGGTGTCGACTCAACGAAAAAGGTTTTGAGATGTGGAGGTTCAAGAATGGTTTGGTCTCTTCCAAATATTTTGTGTGTATCATATCTGTGTTCTGAGTTCAAAAGAGAGACCGAATCCTTACTCGCCCTCTCAACTCCGCATCCTTATTCCAACTTCCCACGATACTTTGATTCCGTCCACACATGCCTTCTTTTCTTTTTTCATGTTTCAATCTGTGTTTCTATGTTGTGTCCTTCTTCATGCTATGTGTCCTTCTTCACGATCTCTAATTTCTTTTCTTCCGTCTCCTTTCCTTTTTCCTTTTATATGGGATCTATGATTGGTTTTTCTCTCTTGAAGGAACGCCATTGTGATCAAAGTCTCCGAGTTCAGCGCCTGGTCCTCGCAGTTCCTCTCGCGCGCCCTCCGCGCCTGTCTGGCCGCGGCCGGCGCCCCGCTGGACCTGGTGCAGCTGGCGCCCGGCTACGCGGAGGCGGGAAAGGCCCTGGTGGAGCAGAGCGACAAGGTGCCATGGCAGGATGCAATTCGGATGAAAGGTACCATCGTGGATGGTTGAAGGATGGAGGAAGAAACGAGGACAAGGGTACTGTAGTTTTCTCCTTGAGACAAGATGGAGTCCGAGTGGTTTTTGGATGTGATATGCATCTATTGTATTCACACGATGGAGTTCAGCCAATGCTTATTATTGGACACGTGAAAGTGAGCTCTTCCAAGAGTGATCCATTCCTTGGAGGAGTTCACACTGTTGTTTCATGATAAAGATATCCACTTTTGCTTTATTGAGACGACATGCCACAGCTGGATATTCTTGAGCCACCGTCATCCTTGTGCAGAGGTGATCTTCGTGGGCAGTGTCAACGTTGGCCGGAAGGTTATGGAGGCTTGCAGATCTCATGCAGATGCGCACCCACTGCGCACCGGACACTTTTTCATGTCACTCACCAGGCGGCCAGCAAAGCGCCGACCATTACACCTGTGATCTTGGAGCTCGGAGGCTGGGCGGTGGAAAGTCGACAGAAAGGACCCTATTCTAGCGTTCTTGTTCCTAGTAGCGATGCCCTCTGCTCCTAGTAGCGAACCTTGTTACTACTAGTAAGGCACTTGTTACTAGAAGCGATGCACTTGTTCCTAGTAGCGTCCTCTTGCTCCTAGTAATAAGGCCAGGAGCCCCCTAGTAGCGATGCCCTTTGCTCCTAGTGGCGACGCAAAGACGACCTGTTTGGACGAGGCAAAGATCCCTTCGTGGTGTGTGAAGACGCCTCCGTGGACGAGGCCATGACCCAGTAGGGGCGCCCAACCCCGAGGGCTTCAGTTATGAACATCGTGAATTAAGCAGCAAGAGAGGGATGCAAGGCCAATGTTGAAGGATCAAGACTTGACAAGACAAGCATCATTGCCAGAGGATGACGGTCTCTTTTGAGCTGAGAGATGCAAATCTCTCCAAGTTACGTAGCATTAGGAGGTCGTTTTTTGCCTGCAAAGGGTGCATGGCCAAAGCTGCTTAGGCTAGTGGTGCGAGGCGCCTTTCAGAACATGGGGCAAAATTGCGCAGGACTCCGACATCGGGTTGAGAAGAAACATGTCATGGATGACTTCCAGAGCAGATTCCCAAGATTCCGACCTGCAGAAGCCAAAAGTGATCATCCACTTTGAACAACCAACTTCGAACAACCACATACAAATCAATGCATCGGTTTTGCATTCTGGTATACAGTGTTTTTACATGTGTTCACATGTTGTCCAAAAGCCCCCTCGCATCGGCCTTCCTAGGACCTGAACGCTTCATCGTCTACGACAAGGTCTACGTAGCTCGGCAAGGTGAAGGTCTTTCACCGAAGTGCGGGTTTTCCTGCTGAGAGGCATGTGTTTGAAGCATGTTTTAAAACCTCTTGACAATCCGCACCTGGAAGCTGAGGATAGTTTCTGCACAAAGATCTCGGCATTGGTCGCTGGGCAGAGGGCATCAGATATAATGTTTTTGACACGAAAAGCAAGCTAAACGATCAGCGCGCTAAACTGGCCTTTTGACCTTGTGTTTGTGTTGTTTCGATATGTTGTCCCTCCTGTTCAATCTCCCACAAAATAAAGAAACAAGCAAACGACTCATCCTTATATACTATATACCGCTGACCAAACAAATGGTGCTGACAACGCACCGTCCTTCCTTTTTCTCATCCGAAGGTGGGGAAGCTCGCGCAAGGCGTGCCCTTGGGCCCCGATGGACCTTTCGTCGACTGCGGCGCCTCGGTCCATCCTCCCAGCCTGGAGACTCTCGACCTTCGAGCGGGAGCGGCAGCCAGACTTTGGACGCCGGGAGTGGTTGGCCTGGGTGAAAGGACGTATTGGAGATTCCCTATAGAGTTACACCAGGTTATATTGGTGGATTCCAGGGCTGTATGAGTCATGAGGATCGAAAGTCATGCGCTAAACAGCGTTCTGGCAAGGAGCAAGAGATAGTTGACACATGTTAACGCAGAGACCCAAGTTGGCAAGGGAAAAAGGCCACGGCAAAGGCCGCAGAGTCTTGACATGTTTGGACCAAGGAACTACCAGCGCCTGGTCGACGATGCCAAAAGCAAGGGTGCTCGAGTCTTGTGCGGAGGTGGCAAGGCCAAATTGGAGGCTCGCCCTCCACATCTCGTCTGAATCTTGAAGGAGATGTTGAATGGATTGTTGAAGGAGATCTTTCTCCAAGTCCTCTAATTGAGCAGCCTCCAAAACCTCCATGTAGAGGGTGTCATTATGGTGCAAGGGCTGTATCAATACAAAGCCATTTCCAACAGGGTTTTCGCCACCGCTCAAGTCTGGTTCCCCTTACACGAACATCTTCAAAAAGATCTTATTGTAGAAAGGAGCTCTTGCTGGTCTTGCGGTGTATGTTGCATAGTCCCTCAGACACTCCGAACGGCCCCCCCGACGTGGGAAGCATCACGGCACGGCACGCGGTGCTTGCCAGTCAGGGCCAGTTCTTTGAGCCCACCGTCTTGGCAGATGTCACGGAGTCGATGCTCATCGCGCAAGAGGAGTCGGAAAACGAACATGCTGGAAGTAACCTTTGGAAGCGGATGAATTAGTTTTTGTGCAGCAGACAGGTGTCCTAAGAAGGTGTTTTGTGAAATGCCATTCCTTAGTACTTGGCTTCCCTTAGCTTTGCTGTATTTGGGGGATCCTTGTCTCGAAGTATAGCTTCCCAAGATCTCAATAGCACGGCAGTTTGAAGAAGCTTTTTCACCTGCTGCCGATCTCGCCCATCTCCCCCGCTTGTTTGCCGTTGTCGTCCGTTCGGTGGTTCTCATCAGGAGACCTTCGGGCCCATCTTGTCGATCTTCCGCGTGAAGGGCACCGGCGAGGCGGCCGACCAGGAGGCCGGAGGACCAGAAGAGGAACAGCATGGAACACCGCCGATGTGTTTTGTTTTGCTTTTCTTCTCAGTTGTTTACTGTAGATCTTTCCTGTGAAATGTGACAATGTGTAATTTATTTTTGTCCACTTGGGGGGGCATGGGGGATCTTCAACATCTTCTTGTGCATTTTGATTCAACCGTTCTTGGTGAGAAGTGGAACATGGATGGTATTCTCGTGACACCGAAGATTCTCGCCCTCTTCGAAGAAGAGGAACTTGCTTTGCAGGCACTACGTTTGGCCAATGCCTGTGCCTTCGCGCTCTCTTCCTGCGCACACAGTGGAGATGAGCAACGGGCAGCGAAGCTTTGCCAGGGCTTCGAGGTGCCCCAGAGGAAGCGCCGTGCACAGCCGTGTGGACATGTTTTGGAAATTGTACGATGTTTCTGGAAGGATTGTTGCAGGGCATCATGTTTTTGGTGGATGTTGTCAATGTTTTTGCCCGAATGTGTCCACAGGCAGGGATGGCCAGTGTCAATGATGTGGAGGCAAGATGGGTGCTGGGATGTCTTCAACATGCGAAAAAATAATGACCCAAAGTGGTTGGCATGAGCACAATCATGAAGAGTCTTCACATTCATCAAGTCGTATGTTCAACCACATGTTTTATTGACCAGAACTACTTCAATATCAGGTGTGACCCACATAGAAAAGCGCGAAGTTCTCAAACCACCTGCTGAGCCAGGGCACCACCTACTTGAGCCAGTCCTTGCCCTTCGGCGGCTACAAGGAGTGGTAGATGTGCCGTAGAAGGAACAGGAAGGTCAAATCATAAGGCCAAGCTAGACAGCTAGACTCGGTTTCGTGGTATACTCATCTAAGGAACAGAATGAGTTTCTGCTAGAATCTCGCAGCTCTTTTCGGACAATTACAGAAAGTACTTTGGTCAAGCATAATATGCTCAAACACTCAGGAATGGGTTGTTGATTGGTGAATCAGCATGTGCCTTGAACACCAGCTAAGCAGTAGGTTCTAGGCTCTAGGTCATGAGTTGGAAGGTTGCCAGGTTTGCCCTGAGGGAGTTCTGCCAGATGGACCCCTCGTCTCGACTTCAACAGCTGCTGTGCAGCTCCCAATGAAGCCACAGGCTAAGAGTTTCCCAATTCGATGGCAAGAATCTTGTTGCTTTTGGAGAAGCTCTATCATGTCCAAAATCATGTCCAACTCACAACTCCCCCGTGTGCGATCGTGCCGATCCATTCGTCCACTGCGCCAAGCAGGACAGTGGCTTTGGTCGCTTCGCTGGGCCCGAGGGTTTACGTGGTTTGTGCCATGAGCGCTCCATCGTGCAGAATCGGGCGTCCTTCTTGAGGCCGGATGGGCCAGAGAAGTTTGTTTGCTATGCTACTAGGGTCAGGCTGGAGGCCATCGCTAAGTTGTTTGTAAGCTGCGGCCATGGGGAGCTGATTCTGCCATTGTTTGGTTCA